AATTTAATAGTAGAGGTTGCTACCCAACCGTGACCGACGATAAGTCTATTCCTAATCCCATCCTTATTTTTTTCTACCCCATTCTTTTTACTATGTGTTATGTTGTGTTTTTAGAATTAGTCACTTTGGAACATTTTCTTTTCGATTGAGGATTCCAAAACGTTTTAATCGTCCAACACCTAATGACAGGGATGACGAGGAATCGTACAGACATGCTATCACTTTTTCTGAAAGGTTTCATGATTCAATGAATTTAATTGTGACGTTATTCTTCGAACAACGACTATTGTTATTGACGACTATTGTCATCAATTTGATTAGAACAGAAACTATGACATTAGTCAAGCACGTGTCGAATTAATTCGTGATTGGTTGGCTGAAAGAGTCAGTATTGTACGAAACAAAAATTTTATTTCAAATTTGGAACGTGCAAAGTAAGTCTGAGAAGTTAGAGATCATTTACTGAAGGCATTCAAACGTTATTTCTTTCATTCTTCTATTTTTAGACAAGCTGGACGTGCCCTTCCGTTAGACGTTAAAACTGGTGGTGTTAAACTGTATCCAAAAAGAAACGTGAATCGTTAGTAGCAAGCATACGAAGTACTTACAGCTCAAGTACTTCGTTTTTAAATAATTATTATGACACTGTTTTTTTAATCTTTCGTTTCAGTTATACACCAACAGCTGCTCGTATAACAAAAGATCCATTAGATGGTAGAGGATCAAAGGCAGATAAAGATGAGGAACAACAAGATAATGGTACAGCGGCAACCAAAAAACAAAAGACAAAACCACCAAATCAACGTTCATCACCAGATGTTACACGTAAAGTAGCTGAAGAAAGAAAAAGTGCAGCATCAGCAGCAAGTCAAAACAATTAATTAATTTAAAAAAAATTAATAACTGAGAAAAACACACTCGTCTCTCACTAACTGTCTCTCTCTCTCTCACTGCATCCTTTTTCGCTTGCGGAGTAGTGGTTCTTTGTTGGTCAGAAACAATTATATATTTTTTAGCAGAAAGACGCAAAGAGACTAGAACAAAGACAACAGCCAACGTTTGACAGTTAATTACGACCAATCAAATCAACGTACAGAATCTGTACTGACAAGCGTAAGATGGCACTATGACCAGAGCATGGTAGGAAGGTGCTAGCTTCAGTACATGGAAGTAGTTGCACAAAAAATAGTCGCAATGCAACTACTTCTCTCTGCATAATACATGAATAATTTATAACAGTCTTCTTTTCAGAAAAAAGGACTTCCATTAAAAGCATTTAAAAATATTCAAATAATATTTTTTATTCTTTCTACGAAAGTCATTTTTTATGTAAGTCATTTTTTCGTCATAAACTGAAAAAAGGAGGATTTTGAAAAAGAAACACGAAAAGGATCTTCCTAAAATGAATATTTATGAAAATCCTTTTATGAAACACCCACAGATAAAGATCGCGGGGCCCGCTCCAACAATAATCAATAGAATGCTGAGATTTCTCGAACCCTCTATAACACAGTGCTTAACACATCTCATTCGCGAATCATTCAACACGACATTTTTCGTTCTCTACTCGTTGGTATAGATCAAGGGCTTCATAGTTGCCTCCTGTTCTTCTTAGTGGAAATCTGATCAAAGAATTCGAGATTGTAAAGTATCTAAGTATTAATTTATCTTATGATCTTAGTTGAACAACTCACATTAATAAAGTTTGTTTACGAGCTAACTCGGTTGTCGGTCTTATGAAATACAGTTCATGATTGTTAAATAGAAAAACGCTTGATGTGATATATAAATCGTATGGCCTTAATTTGTTTATTTATGACTCTGTCCTTTTTTCGATCACAACTGAAGACAATCTCAAAACGATGGAAACAATTCAGTACCATGCTGGTCTTGTTGTGTTAGGTTGCATGAAAGGAACATCAAGTGGAAGAGTATTATCTAGTATGAGATGGTTAAAACTACGCTATATCTTTTGCATCAATCGTCCGACACATTATACAAAAATTATACGCAGTTTCACTGCATCTAGTTTAACCGATTACATTCAGCGACACCAAAATCAGAGATATAATCTAAGAAATAGTGGACGACTGGTACCAGTTGAATGCGTTAGAGATTTTTTTTCGATGGTCGCAGATGAATGGAATGCTTTCTTGATAACATTCCGTCTCTGTGTGTCTTAAAAATCAATACAATAAAATATAAGCTGAAAAAATCATTGATCGATAAAAGGAAGCTGCTTGCTTTTGCTAAGCACATCACTTTTCCAAATAGAAGCTCTGAAACCATGTTCATGCGCTTTAGATGTAATTTTCCGCAGGTGAATTCCTATTTACATGAACGGGGTTGCATAAATTCGCCTTTTTGTTCCTGTGGTGACGGTAGCGAGGAGACAATAGAGCATTTTCTTTTTCACTGTAAATTGTATGATACAATTCAAAAGGATGTTATCGAACGTCTAGATCCTATTAATTTGTTGGTTGAACGTCTCATGTTAAACAATTCGACTAGCAACACAGAGACTTCTCAGTTGATAATAGATTGTGTGAGTGACTTTATTGAGAAAAGCACGAGATGGTAAAGAGTGAATCAACTGTTGGTCGCTTTCTTATTTTCATTTTCATTCT